ACAACTGGCGAAATCCAGGGACTTGATGACGGTTCGATGACGCCTTGATTCTGCATTGTCGTTATCATTTCGTTTACTTCTGTTTGTTTTGCTAGAGGAAGACGTCGTGGTACTTGTCGGATCGGTTTCGAATCCTGAGTATCAATTCGGTGAGTTACCAGAGCTGTTTTACCTTGGTCATTGTCACCGGTTGAAAACACGTCTGCAAAATCAGCAATCAACGCCTCGGCTTTTAGACGGTCTTCTTGATACAAATTGAGTTCATCCAGTAGATTTTTGGTAAGTTCTTTGAGTCTACCTTTGTCAGTTGGTAGAACCTTTTCCTGTTGCTCCATATCTAATGATTTCACCAAATTTATTGATTGGCAATTACCTATTTCCTTGCTTTTTTTAATTTTAACAGTGTATTTAGCCGTATTCATTATTCTGAGAGGAATAAGACCAATTTTGTTCGCTTCTACCAGGCATTTTCCAATGACCGCGTTCTGTACATTTGTCGTTGAGGTTGGCTCCATCAAATAGAACTGGTGGCCCCCAGGATCGCAATTCAACTTGCCCCATACGATGTTTTCAGATGATTGAGGTAGTTCTGTGTCACAATCGACTGTCACTCGAATGCATTTTTCGTCGCTATCCCCCATTATCACTTTTGTATTTCTCCATCTAAGAATGCGTTTTTCTAAGTCAATTTTAAACCCATATTTTGTCAGAAAGTCGACACCTATTATGCATTCGTCGATGATATCCGCGACTAAAAATGAACCTTCGAATAACAAGTCGCCTAGCTGAACAGTACGGAGAATCTTTCCATAGACTGGTGCTGTTCCTCCGGTAGCTGTTCGAAGGATGTATTTGTTAGAAGTTTCTTTCTTCAGATTTGGTACCAAATCAGATCTTAAAATCGATTTTGTTGCTCCGGTGTCGACTGTAATTACACATTCTCGTTGATCAACTTTTCCGTTCAGCCATAGGTCGTTTCGATTTTGATGTAGTCTGGAAACGTTAATTACGGTACTGGGGGCGTCAATTCTACTAGCCAACCTCTGCCCCACAAAGTTGGCTCTTATTTGTTTTCCGATCGTGATACAGGATTATCTTCTCTTCTTTTGCGCCATCTTGTCTCGCAATTTCGGCAAGTAGTTATCCTTTAGGCGGTGTTTACAATCACGACATAGATGGCCTTTTTCACCACAAATCCAGCATTGGGGTACACCATGCTGTTGAGGTTCGCGTTTCACAACCACCTTCTGGCAAGGGCATTCTTCATGTGCTTGGCGTAGACGTACGTCACTTTTTGATGCTTGCTTTGCCGATTCAAAAGTGAGACTGTGCGCAACGGCATCCTTGAGTTTTCGTTTATCTGACAAGAGAAGGGATTGCTTGAGTTCCGAATCACGAAGGGCTTTGATAAACGTATCCAGGGCAGTTTCGTCTCTATGCTCGGGGTCTGATGTCGGATACGACAGCAATGTCAACCGTTCGATATCTTGTGCCAGCTGCTGAATGGATTCACCAGATCGTTGCGTTCTGTTTCTAAGTTGAGAACGATAAATCTGTTTCATGTGTTCTTCACCATAACGTAAATCCAACGCGCTAACCAGAACTTCATAGTTGAAGTGGTTCTCCGCCGGAATCGTCTGAAGAACCTCTGCTGCTGAACCTCGCAGGGCCAGTATCAGTGCTGTTGCTCGTTCTTTTCCGTTCCAACAGTTACTAGTTGCCGCTGCTTCGAACTGGGTTTTATAAACGTTCCAGGACATCTCTCCGTCAAATGCTGGTACCTTCAAAGTTCTTCCGGATGCGTGATCTAACGGCATGGCCATTTTTTTGGATTGCTCCAATTTTTGCTTCAATTTGTCTATCTTGTGATCTACCTCAACGGTCTGACGATCAAGTTTCTGCTCGATCATTTCTATTCTTGTTGACTGTTCTTCAATCTGTTCTGCCACTTCCAATTTTACGTGTTTTTACTCCTCTGTCTGTCGTTCGGACTGTTCCTTGATCTGTTGTTTTAACTCTTCTGTCTGTCGTTCGGACTGTCGTTCGGACTGTTCCTTGATCTGTTTTAACTCCTCTGTCTGTCGTTCGGACTGTTGTTTTATTTCAGTTGACATACTAAGCAGAAGTTCCATCATTTTAGCGGTTGTAAACGTGCCTGTGCTAATTTCATTGTCTTCGTCAGCACCATCAAACTTGAATTCGTCTGGGTTCTTACTTTCGTCAATGAGAGCTTCTCTCAGACGTGCTACTAGTACTTCTTTGTTGCCACTTGTGACAAGGCTTCGTTTCTGTAGTTCTTCTCGTAGCTGAACTACGTTCAAACCACACAGTTTTGACATCGTGTTCTTTTTCTATGAGTAGTAATTCGCTAGTCGAAGATCCCACTTCTGACACCAATGTTATAGTACTCGCTGTCGTAACCGATTTACGATGCGA